CCCCCCCCCATCATAATTCATGATGAATCTATTCAAAATACTACGACAATAGCGAAAGCATGCACTGGAAATAACTTCTATATCAAATGAATCTCCAACTCAAAACATGTGTTAATTGTACAGGACATAACCTCGTATTGCAAAGTCAAGGACAGCCTAACAGCAAGAAATGTGAAATTTTTTACGTTTACACCAAAAGTATTGAAACCACAGTTTTATTCGCTAAAAGGTATTGATCCTGAATCTGACAAAGACTTATTAACACAGGAAATCAATAAAGCAGCTCCAACTAAAATTAAAGCAAAGAAATTGTCATTATTCGAAACACCAAAATCTAAAAAAGAAAACCGTAAAATGCCAATTTTCTTCATAGAATTTTCTCCAAATTCAGACACTGCATTCTTATGTGGCAAACCGCCGTAGTTTACAGTTTATAGTTTGTAGTTTATAGCTAATAATTCTAGTCTGAAAAATTAGTTTAAGTGTTTACTTTAATAAATTAGTTAAGCCAAATATCGCGTTCCTTATCCAAGCAACCACTTCGCTTAAAAAACATAAAATACATATGTAACCAAAAAATTCAATGAGAAAAACTGAGCAAAAAAGAGCCTCCGCAGTGCAAAAACTTCCAAAGGATTGGTCACTCAGCTATTAACTGCTTCTTAAGTTTCAGATGTGTCAAATGCAATAATACACACAAGGGAGGTGAGTGCAAACTAGGTGAAAACCTACATAAAGAAGCTGTGTTCTGCATTAATATTAAACAGTTTGGGCACCTTGCCTCTTATAGAGGATACCCAATTCTTAAATCAAGAGTGCAAGCAATAAAGAACAAGATCAAATCCAGCAATACCAGAAATATGGTAAAGATCCCAACACCAGCGACAGCAGTCAGAATCAAAACTCAAGCTCCTTAACTACACAGTCAAGTGTTAAAATCTAAAACTGAACCTTCACTTGTAGCAAGTACTAACAATCAGCAAGTAAAAACTCAACCGCAAACAGTTTATCCCACAGCTACAAACTCAAACAACCAACGTGAGCAATTTGACGCACAACAACTAACAAGTGCCATCAACAACTTGAATGCGCAATTGGCATTAATTATGCAACAAGTAAATGACAATATGGAGAAAATTGACATGCTGCTTCAGATGTTTATGGGTGGAATAGGTTATGAACACTCCAAAACGAATGGCCGTCGCAATGGTCCTTGAACAGAAAGATCAATCAGCGTAGATACACACTGCATCCAGAGCACTGCAAAATTTTAAAATTATTTCCATAAATGTATATTCAATCATAAATTTACATAGAAGGGCATTCCTTGTCGCCTTCTTCGAGAAGTATAACACGCATATCCTATGTCTGAACGAAACAAAACTAGATGCAAACCACATCCTGCAATTCAAAAATTTCGCGATAATCAGAAACGACAGAACTAATGCAACACAAGCAGGAGGAACTGCAATTTTAGTACGAAATAATGTACTATTCACAAGAATAGGCTTAAATTTTATCAACCAAGGAGTGATTTAAACCTCAGCAGTATCCCTGAAATTAACAAACGACAAAAAGTTCCATATTATCGCAGCTTATAGTGCGAACAACAACGCATTCCAATTTATCAAAGAATTTGAGAAAATATTTATCACCCTTAAATTGCACAAACCAAGTAACTACTATGTAGTACGTGGTGACTTAAATGAGAAGCACAGCTTATGGCTGAGTGATACGAATAATGCAAGAGGAAATAAATTGGCAAAACGGCTAACTGAATATGACCTAATATATAAAACCAGGCTACTATTCCCAAAAGAAGCTACGTTTCCACGAGCCAACCCCACGCTTCATATCGCCTGCACGTACTCAAGGTTCTTCACTGGCAATTTTATCAATCCCTACTTCCTGCAAACTTTACTGTACGACAGTGACCACTGGGCAATTCAATTCATCTTAAACCACAATGACATTATGTTCGACAACACATTACTCCAGCAGCCGGAACTTCTACTTCTTTGCAAAACCAACTGGAAAGGCTTCGCGAAAAATCTTTGCTCCTCCAAGATCTGGAGGAAAATCTGGCAATCAAAGCCATTGATAAATTAGTAGGCGAATTAGAACAGGTAATTTTTTATGTACTGTAAAAGCATAGCCCAAAGTATAAGCCAGCTAACTCAGTTGAAACATACCAAAATAGCAAGATCATTAAACTGCAGAGACTAAAAACTACGCTACTATCTAGATTCTTCAAAAGCCATAGAAACAGCTCCACACGAGAGGCAAGGTTAACTATATTCCTAAATAAGGCCATCAAAATCATCAACAACGAACTGAAAAGCGGCTACACGGCAGCGGCATCAATATTCTGGAATAATAAGTTATAAAGTCTCGATACAAGGCGACCACATAAAATCTATCAAACTATCACTAAAGTATTCCGCCCAAAAGCGAATAACTCGTTGTCAGATTTTCACGTCAAGGCTCAAGACTATCATGTTCTTTAAGAAGCTGGCATCGAACCTACCATAACAAAACTCGCGGACGGCAATTTTAAATACTTTAGCCCACAGAACAAACTCGCACTTTTTGAACATACTTCAAGAGAATCCACACAAAAAACCTTGCAGACCAACCACCATCAAAGTTCGAAAACTTCATCAATAGCAAAGTGAACGAAATCGTAAGCAATTTTACCATACAAGCCATAACGCTATTCAGCGATGATAATAAGGCAGATTTTTCCTCCGAGCTCGACAGCTATTACATCAGCACAGCCGAAATTAAAATGGCGCTGAAAAAATTAAAAAACAAAAAGTCTTTCAGCTTCGATAAGATCTCTAACGCTATGGTAAAAAAGTTGCCTAACAAGATAATCCGTATGCTGGCCATCCTATTCAACAACTGCCTCAATAACTGTATCGTCGAAATCTTTCCAACATGGAGAAATTTCGTGTTTCAAGGAATAGATGAATTCGATTGAGGAAGAGGGTAAATAAAAATTGTTTAATCGTAATTGAGCCTTAAAAATTGTGATCGTTTATTGGCTCGAATGATTCGAATTAGGGGAAAAAGCCTTGCGGCATAAAAAACCCCTTACAAAATTATGTATTCGTTAATGATTCTACGATGAAAATGTGTACGAGTATGTGTACGTTGTGTTGATTGCGTATTGAATGAGGAGAACAAGGTCTCGCTCAATGTTGTTCGATTTGAGTGATAATTCACGTTGTGTGAGATTATTCACGATGATCGAGTTGAGAATGTAGGACTCACTCGGATCATGTTGATGTGTACGTTTAACCACCCTACCGTGGCCCGTTCGAGGGTGTAGGTCTCGCCCGAACAGTGTACAGTGTATGTACATTCAACCACCCTACCGTGGCCTGTTCGAGGGTGTAGGTCTCGCCTGAACAATGTACAGTGTATGACTTAACCACCCTACCGTAGCCCATTCGAGGAGTGCAGGGTCTTGCTCGAATGGCGTCATGAATGATTTCCGAACCATCCTGCATTGGTTATGCTACGTTGCGTTACGCGGAAACTTCTAAGTCAAGATTGACTTTTTCGACTCTCGATCCGAACCGTGCAAGCTTCAACGTTCGACTGTCCTTTTCGTTGTACGAAAAATCGCCTAAATACCCTCGCGTTTCCGAAGGTAACGGTTAGGGAGAACTCTATGCTTTTGTTTGCCCAAAACTGTTTTTAAAACGAAAAATTCAGCTGTTAGCTGATTTATGGTATGTACATTCTACGGTAAGATTCGTTCGGACCGGATCTGATAGACAATAGGGTACTCGGTGACCCGTATTCCGAAGTAAAAACTATTGACGGTGGCCTACTAAATTGCTTAGCCGCGGCATAGGTTTCGGTTCGCGGCCGAACAATAACCACTACTTCCCTGATAAATGGAAAACTGCGAAAGTGGTCGCAATTCCAAAGAAAGATAAGGACCCGACCATAATGGAAAATTATCGCCCAATAAGTCTTTTACCGAATATCGGCAAGTTATTTGAAATTATAATAAACAATGGAATTAATAATTTTGTTTCAGTCAATAATCTACTACCGCAGCAACAATTCGGTTTCCGACTGAGTCGTTCAACGGTGCATGCCATTAATAAATTAGCAACGGACATATGCTGGAGCCTCAACGAAAGCAAACCAGTAGGTGCATGTCTAATCGACATAGAAAAGGCTTTTGACACAGTATGGACAAAAGGTTTAATTTATAAATTCAACAAGAAAAAATTCCCGCCACATTTACTGCAAACAATATCCTGAGATATTTGTGAAAATAACTATTTCAACCCCAACTTTAAGGGTTATTTTTACCATTTAAAAGTGGGTATTCATTCGTAAAAGAAAAGTATGTTAAATATTTTTTTAAATTTTATGACGTGTAAAAATTTCATCAAAATCGGCGTGTAATGTTTGAGTGATGTCTATTGTAAGTCATTAGTTTTATTTGCCCATGTTTTGTACATTGTATTGCAACTCGTGATCGGGAGAAGGGTGGTCTGTAAATTAAATGTTTTATCACACTATTCATAGTCAAATAAATTACTATTTTGTGTTAGTTGATTTAAATTACCCATAAATTGTG